TTCAATTATTCAGAGCCCAGACAAATCCTTTAAAAAACTCAAAAAGTCAAGCTTTTAATTGCTTTTAATCTCTAATGCCTTAAGTGCATATTGACCAAGTTTGAAGCTAATATCTCAAAAAACCTTGGAGAAGTTTGTGTTAGGAATTATGCACTAAGCCAAGAGTTACAGCTCTTCTTTGTAGGAATCTGACCAAATGTGTTAGTCCTCCAAAATCCTGACACTCCAGCGTGCAGAACACTAAGCAGAGTCATAGTTTAACACACCTCTCTGCAGCTTCTCTGCTGTTACCCACTCATGATTCCATCCTGATAGTTTCCTGCCCACGAACAAAATCTAATAAATTAGAAAAGATTCCCAAAGGAGTAAATCATGATAATTAAATTAAAATTAAAATATCTCCAATTAGGGGAAAAGTCAAAAATGATTAAATGTGGTTTATTTAACATAAGATGTCTGTCTTCAAAAAGTCTGCTACTTAATTACTTAATTTGTGATAATCACATTGATTTATGTTGCCTTACATAAACCTGGCCACAGCAAGAAACTTATGTGAACATAAATGAGGCAACTATCTCTCATTCTGGGTGAGGAGGAGTAGCAATCTTTCAGCCTGACTTACTGATTACTCCAAAGGCAGGTAATAATTACAACTCTTTTGAACATTTAACCCTTAGTTTCCCTCATCCAATTTGCAAAGCAAGAAAACTTCTTATTTTTGTAACTTTGTATTGTCCACCAGGTCCTTACTCTGAATTTGTAGATGTTTTTTTCTGATTTGGTGTTAAATACTGACAAAGTCATCATAGATAGAGTCTTTAGAAAATTAGGTGATTAGTAAGTGTTGGGGTTTTATTTTCAAGGCCCTTCCAGGTTGGATGCCACATTAATGTTGTGGATTTATATTCTATTCCATTCCCGGCCAGCTGGGAATTTATATTTGTACTTTAAGATGTTTATTTCCCTCCCCGGTAGGGGTGCTTAATATCTTATTTAATCCGATATTATTTGGGCTGTCATATATTGTTTATGAACACACGTCCTACTAGCTGAACAATAAATGAAAGAGTGATTCGATCACTAATCATGGTCAAACAGTTAATTCTGCATCTACATGGAATAAATTCAGCACAACTTCTGTTCAAAATATAAGAGTTTATTAATAAAAATCATTCAGCTCCAAGTCAAATATATAATCTGTTTAAAACTCAACTAGAAATAGTGAAACTCAACTAAACTAAACTACTATGTACAAAGAGGAAGGGCAAACATGGTTGAAAACAATTTAAGGCCCCGTCCACACAAAGTCAAACCCTGGCCTAAACGCACCATTTTTTCACCAAACCAGCCTCCATACGAAGCCGGCGTTTCGGGGGTCTGTAAACGATCTTTTTTATTAAGCCTTCAGAGTGGGAAGATTTTGAAACGCCGTTTTCGCGTTTCCATCTTTAAGGTCTGACCGCATTTTTTTTTTTTACACGCATGCGTCATAGCGTCGCCTCTAAACACGCATGCGCGACACAGTATCACAACAACAATGGCGCCGTACTGTGTTGAATGGTTGCTGCTCATGCTACTCACCCTGCTGTCGGGCTTACAACAGAATCTTCTTCTTCTGGAATATCTCCAGGAAGAACAGAGCAATATCGACGACATATTTCAGCACCTGAATTTGACTGAACCACGAAAATGGGCCCGCAGGGCCATTTTCCGGTTTGGTTGTTGTATAAATATTACTGTGCATGCCCAACATTCGTTGCCTGTTTTCGCCTACTTTTTGCTTTGGCACCACAGTGCCACTTACAGGCCTGGCATACATTTTGCAGCGTTTTCATGCATTCGTGTGGACGATCACATTTATTTTACGTCTTTACGACAAACGTTTTGGAAAATATTAGCGTTTCGTGTTCGTTTTGACTTCGTGTGGACGGGGCCTAAGATGGATCTTGTTTTTCATCATTGGTCACACCTCTGTGGGAATTCCTGTGGCTGCTTTTGGAGGCCTTGGCTGAAAAGGGGGGGTTGCAGAGATCCCACAGCTGCTCACCCACCAAAGCTTTATCCTCTTCTCTGGTCATCAGTTCAAGATGAAATATGGTCACTGGTTCCCAATATCCAAAAACCATGCCATATGGCACAACATCAGTCACTTAATTTGGATGGGATTAAACTGGTTTCAGATAATAAAGTAAATAAATCTTGGTGTTATTTTAGATCAGGACCTGTCATTTAAATCCCATATCAAAGAGGTTTCTAAATTTTCCTTCTTTCATCTGCGGCATATTGCAAAAATTAGAAATATCTTGCCCAGGGGTGATGCTGAGAAACTATTTCATGGATTTGTTACTTCAAGGCTGGTCTATTGTTACTCTTCACTAAGGAAGTCCACAAACTGTAGTTAAAAGCTTTCAGCTAAACCTAACTGTTGCAGCCAGAGTTCTGATGAAAATTAAAAAGAGAGATCATATCTCTCCTATCCTAACTTCTTTTCAATGGCTTCCTCTAAAATCAAGAATAGAATTTAAAATCCTCCTTTTCATATATAAAGCCTTAAATGACCAAGCTCCATCTTATATCAGAGATATGATTACTCTTTATGTTCCCAAAACACCACTTAGCTCTCAATCTGCAGGTTTACCAGTGGTCCCTAGAATTTCTAAAAATAGAACGGAAGGCTTTTTCTTTTAGTTATCAGGCTCCTCTCCTGTGGAACCAACTACCAGTTTTAGTCCGTGAGGCAGACACCCTGTCTTCTTTAAAGGGTAGTCTTAAAATGTTTCTTTTTGATAAAGCTTAAAGTCAGAGTGGCTCAGGTTATCCTGAGCTATCTCTATGATTATGCTGCTGTAGGCTTAGACTTCTGGAGGACTCAGGGACGCCTTTTTCATCATTCTGGTTCAATTCTCTGTTATCCCGTTTTACAGAATCTGTTTGTTCAATCTCTAATGTTATGCTCTCTCTGTTTTTTCTCTCAGTACCCTTGCCTTGTCTGTTTTTGTTTGGCTGTGACCAGGGCCGGTTCTAGCCCTTTGGTTGCCCTAGGCGAGATTGAGTTTATAAAACAACAATATAAAACCGGATAATTAATAACCAATATGCAGCTATGTACATTTTTACAGTAATGGATATTTGAAAATAGCAGCAACATCAGAGATGTGCAGAATGACAGCAGCAGGTTATTTAACTGACTAAGGTTTCTATCATTACATTTGATTTGATTTGTTCCTGCTCCCAGTGGTTGAAACCTTTATTCCACTCTGGATTCATTCTTGTGAGTGTAGTCTTTGTTCACTTTAACTTAAAAAAAAAAAAATAAATAAATAAATAAACAAACAGTTTTGAAAACCTCGGTATTCATTCTTTTCCTGCTTTGTGTGTCAACTTTCACGGTTGCTAAGCAACAGAGCATACTGCGGTAAAACCCGCCGAAGGGTAGACCTGGTCGAATTTACAGCCAAAACTCTTCTGGTCCCCTTATTTTCAAGGACTTCGAAGGATCCAGTCTAGGTAGACCGCGTCCTTGGAGGATGCGTCCTAGGTTTTCGAACAGAGCCTCTGATTAAGAACAGGGCTGCCCGCACTGACGCGGCTCAAGGATTACGTCACACGGAGCGTCGTGCGCAGTGAAATCAGGACATTTCCTCACTTTCTAAAAAAAACCCGGGACGCCCGGGACAGGACGTGAAATACGGATATGTCCCCGGAAATACGGACGTTTGGTCACCCTAGCATATATACTGAGAAAAAAATGATGTCAACATACAAAAAAAATGTTTGAACTGTTAAAAGAAAAAACTTGCCCTACCATTCATCTAATCTCCCGACGTCCAATCTCCACTCATTGTCCGACTCGCTGTTGTTCGTCCGCTGCCTTCTCTTCATCTGAAACATCTGGGTCGAACATGTGAGGCTCCAGACACAAATATTCTTCCTCCGATACATCAGAATGGTCTCCTGGTAGGAATCGCTCGGTTGAAGTCGAAATTTTGCTTTCAGATTTCTCGTTTTGGCTATCACATTTAGTGCAGTAGACCGCCATGAACGCTCCCGTTCTGACGTCACGACTTCCGGGTTGGAGGGCGCTTGAAAAGTGATCAGAGTCTTTTCCGATTTTCTCTTAAATGTGAAAAAATAAATAAAAAAAACTGTGGTATATTTATTTGTTCATATTTTGCTATTTATATATAAGTAAGGTTAAGTCAAACTGACGGACGCTTCATAACCGGTTTAATTCGCTTTTTTTTATAATTCTATGATTAATGGGAAGTAAGCCTAAGGGCGACGCTAGAGGGCGCCCCCAACACATTTGTCGCACTAGGCAATTACCTAGCTCGCCTATAGCAATCGCCGGCCCTGGCTGTGACACCACCTTGGAGAGAAATATCACCTGTGCTGCTGCCATCAACACTTTTGTTTATAGATGTTGGAGATCGATCAGTTTTTCAGTGTAGTCCTGTTTCTCTGACTGTGACTAACTGGATGTGCTCTCTTCATCCTCTGTCATGTGATCTGGCTTGGAGCTCATCTGCCTGGCTGTGTGTTTCCTGGAGCCTTGTTCTGCTGGAAGTTCTTCCTGTTAAAAGGGAGTTTTTCCTCTTCACTGTTGCTACAAGCATGCTTAGTGTGAGGGGTTGCCATAGAGTCAAAGAGTCAATACAATCAACTGGTTTTTCTTAGATAGAAAACTTTGAATCAATTTGACTGTATGATCTGATGGACTGTAGAGTGCCTTGAGATGACATGTGTTGTAAATAAACTGAATTGAATTGAATTTGTAAAATTGGGTAAAACTGTAAATATGTGTAACCTTAAACCATTTGATTTACTTTTGTTTGAGTGATAGTATTTTAAAGTGACAGTGATCTTTGATATAATTCTGATGGCTTTATCTACCTATGTACCCAAACAAAAAATATTTTAGTATGAGTAAAAACAGAAAAGACCTACAGAGCTTAGGTTATAGTTAGACGTAATGTTTTTACACAAGTTTAATTGCTCTAATGTTATTTTCTGTCTGCAGAGCTCGCTCTTCCATTTGGAGATCAAATTAGCATACAGTTGTCAAAACCCAGAACAGAGAATGCAGAATTCAAGGCAGAAAGACACACTTATTTCTCAAAAGCATTTATTATAAAACGAAGGATCAGTTGTAACTGCAGGGACGTCTAAAGTAGGAACCTCTGCAGAGGGAAAGTTCTGGTTAGTTACCACTTCAATCTGATGGAGGAAGATTATGAACACAGAGGCACTAACCTGGTCTTAAAGTTAACTCTGTATCCATAGGAAGAGGTAGATTCTAGCCTGACTGGCTGACAACATCACATGGCAGACACTTCCCAGAGAGTCCCAGATGATAACAAACAGATCCAAGCAGTCGAAGGAAGGTAGGACTATCCAGAAGTAGGAGCCAAAGCCAGTGTCAAAGAGGTTCACAGGAGTCCAAGCGAGAAGATCAGAAATTTGAAGAGGTACAGAAGGACGATGTCGGTGTCAGGAAGCAGATCCAGGTTCAGTCAAATGGTAGAATCAAGCAGGAGTCTGAAGACTGGTCAGGCAAACAGATCAGAACAGGAACAGGCAGGCTCAGATGTCCAAAAACAAAATGGGTCGGGATTAGGCAATCAAAACACAATCAGTTAAGCTAGGGAACTCTTACCAAAGCTAGAAGTGACTGCAGGTTTAACACTTACACATGAAAGGTAGTATGGATCTTCATGGAATGAGGGAGCTGGAGGCGGAAGGCCACCGGGAGGTTGGGATTTCAACTGGTGGCCCCTCTGCACCATAACTGAGTACAATCTGGAAAATCAGTGCAGCATGTTCTCATTCTTTTACACACACACACACACACACACACACACACACACACACACACACACACACACACACACACACACACACACACACAGGCAGTTACTCAAACATACGGGACCATAAGCTTCTGTACAGTTGCTGCATAATTCTGAGAAGCTCACTGTCACTTCTACCAGTGTTATTGCTGTTACCTTTGTTGCTTGTTTGTTCTTTTGTTTCCCTGTGCCCTTTTACAGGAGCCCACTAGGAACAGTTTCTTTTTTCAGACATATTAGCTGGTTGTATGGTTTTGTTGTCTTTTTTTGTTGTCTTTATTCTCTTTCTGTTTCTGTCCAAAGGAACTCTTTCCTTTCCACTGCTTTTCTTTCTTCTGTCTCTCTGTCAGCTTCAGCATTATAAGTCACATGTAAATTTGGTAACAAAATGAATAAATGAAGTAGCTGGCCCACTAATGCTACGTTTAGACCGGACGCAGCAAAAGCAGCAAATCGTCTGCTGCTTCATTTTTGCTGCTCGTACCAGTTAGTTCTGACGCGCGGCTGAAGCAGCTTTGCTGCTCTGCCTGCGCGGTGCAAAAGTGGCTCTGACGCGCGTTGGGCAGACCTACTCTATCCTTTCTCTGCCTTGCAGCTATATTTGCTGTGATCAGTGGGAATAAAGTTTTTAAGTGAGAAAATACACCTGAAAACTTCATCAGTGAAGTCAGTTCAATCCTGATGAACACACGTCCTGCCTCCCAATGTTATTTCTGTCGGAGCCGCTCAGACCCCCACATACCACCGGTGCGCCGACAGAAGGAATCCCTTCAACAGCAGCCTCTGGCCGGGTCGCCTCCTCGCGGTTCACCGCGGCGGCTGGTAGGTGTTTTTCATCTAAATAATCCGATCTGCAGGCACCAGAATAATAAAAGCGAACATATTCTGCCGGCAGATGTATGCATTTTAAGTTAATTATGCGTTAATAAACTGTTTAAGAGGAGTGATCAGAGCGGTCTGCGTCATCAGCGCTGTGTCTCTCTCCTAGCCAGCTCCCAGATCAGCTTCTCTGATTGGTTGACGCGGCGTGTCGAGCAGCAAAAATTAAATTTTTCCATCTCGAGCAGCAACGCGTTTGCGGCGCGTCACGCGCGTCAGATGCTTAAACGCGCCCGACGCGCTGCTTCAGCTGCTCAGACGTGCTGCGCCTGCTGCTCAAAACGCGCCGCGGGACCTTTTGCTGCGCCTTGACACGCGTCAACCATTGACTTTGCATGTAAACTCGCTGCTTCTGTCGCGCCAGCTGCGTCCGGTGTGAACGCAGCATTAGTGTGATCAGATTGACCTAAAATGCTTAACTTGGTTTCTATTTACTGATTGGCCCTCTCTTTCCGACGGTCCGCCTGGGTATGAAAACCTAAAGACAGGCTGACAGAGATCCACAACCACAGCAGAATTCTTTCCAGAACTGGAACTTAAACTGGGAAACCCCTGTTGGAGACTTTGTTTGTCGGTGAGAGTGAGGATTTCCCCCATTTATTTAGTGGAAGGGGGTTTGGGCAGTGGAACCAAATGGACCATCTTAGAAAATCTGTCATTGATGGTGAGGTTGACTGTGATACCTTCAGAACAGGTTAACCAGGTAATGAAATCCATGGCAATTTTAGGCCATCGTCGGGACGGGATGGGTAAAGGTCATAGAAAACCAGATGTGGGACTTCTGGACGTCTTGAACTGATTGCAAAGCGGGCAAGGTGCCACAAACTCTTGTACATCTGACCAAAGAGCCTCTGGATTCTGAGCTCTACACCCGAACAAGTAGGCCGAGACTCTCTTCTAAAAGTGTGGTGTCACTTGAGAGGACATTGAATGAAGAATGTAGGCATCGACCCCCCTTCCTCTTCCACACAAAGCAAACGCTCTACCATTTGAGCCAATTCCCCGCATATACAGGTGCTGGTCATAAAATTAGAATATCATGAAAAAGTAGATTGATTTCAGTAATTCCATTTAAAAAGTGAAACTTGTATATTATATTCATACATTACATACAAACTCATATATTTCAGATGTTTATTTTGTTTAATTTTGATGATTACAAATGACAACAAATGAAAATCTCAAATTCATCATATCAGAAAATTAGAATATTACTGAAGACCAATAAAAACAAAGGATTTATAGAAATGTTGGCCAACTGAAAAGTATGAACATGAAAAGTATGAGCATGTACAGCACTCAGTATTTAGTTGGGCCTCCTTTGGCCTGTATTACTGCAGCAATGCGGCGTGGCATGGAGTCGATCAGTCTGTGGCACTGCTCAGGTGTTATGATAGCCCAGGTTGCTCTAATAGTGGCTTTTAGCTCTTCTGAATTGTTGGGTCTGGTGTATTGCATCTTCTTCTTCACAATACCCCATAGATTTTCTATGGGGTTAAGGTCAGGAGAGTTTGCTGGCCAATTAAGAACAGGGATACCATGGTCCTTCAACCAGGTACTGGTAGCTTTGGCACTGTGTGCAGGTGCCAAGTCCTGTTGGAAAATGAAATCTGCATCTCCAAAAAGTTGGTCAGCTGCAGGAAGCATGAAGTGCTCTAAAACTTCCTGGTATGTGGCTGCGTTGACCCTGGACCTCAGAAAACACAATGGACCAACACCAGCAGATGACATGGCACCCCAAACCATCACTGACTGTGGAAACTTTACACTGGACTTCAAGCAACGTGGATGAAGTGCCTCTCTTCTTTTCCTCCAGACTCTGGGACCTTGATTTCCAAAGGAAATGCAAAATTTACTTTCATCAGAGAACATGACTTTGGACCACTCACCAGCAGTCCAGTCCTGTTTCTCTTTAGCCCAGGCAAGACGCTTCTGACGCTGTCTGTGGTTCAAGAGTGGCTTGACACAAGGAATGCGACAGCAGAAACCCATGTCTTTCATACGTCTGTGTGTGGTGGTTCTTGAAGCACTCACTCCAGCTGCAGTCCACTCTTTGTGAATCTCCCCCACATTTTTGAATGGGTTTTGTTTCACAATCCTCTCCAGGGTGCGGTTATCTTTCTTGCTTGTACACTTTTTTCGACCACATCTTTTCCTTCCCTTCGCCTCTCTATTAATGTGCTTGGACACTGAGCTCTGTGAACAGCCAGCCTCTTTAGCGATGACCTTTTGTGTCTTGCCCTCCTTGTGCAAGGTGTCGATGGTCGTCTTTTGGACAACTGTCAAGTCAGCAGTCTTCCCCATGATTGTGTAGCCTATAGAACTAGACTGAAAGACCATTTAAAGGCTTTTGCAGGTGGTTTGAGTTAATTAGCTGATTAGAGTGTGGCACCAGGGGCCATCAATTTTGAACCTTTTCACAATATTCTAATTTTCTGATATGATGAATTTGAGATTTTCATTTGTTGTCATTTGTAATCATCAAAATTAAACAAAATAAACATCTGAAATATATGAGTTTGTCTGTAATGTATGAATATAATATACAAGTTTCACTTTTTAAATGGAATTACTGAAATCAATCTACTTTTTCATGATATTCTAATTTTATGACCAGCACCTGTACATATACAGTTTATCAACTGCAAGAGTTTTTATCAAAGGTTTTAAGTTGTAGAAAGAAAATATTTAAATTTCTGATAAGGTAGTGTTAAAGAAAAATGATTATTTTTAGTCTTTAATACAGTTAATCTTATGGCATGTGTAAAAGGTATGTTGTATACTCTCCTTGTGAACATATTTCTTAATTTTGAACAAGTTTGTGAAGATAACCTTTCCTTGAACCAGATTACTGAATTTAAGTTTGTTCCTGAGAATTTATGGCAGGAAGAGGCCGCATTCCACACCGAGTCTGTGAGAGCTTATCTTGTGTTTTATGACCTTAAGAATTCTAGATGCCAGGACAAGCTTTCCGCCTTTTCTTTTTAAAACAAAGAAGCAAATGACCCCAGATGTTTGCAGTAAATTAGGTGAAGCTCTAGGCAGTGTCAGAGATGGCTTCTGGTTGGAGGACCGAGGGCCAGCCTTTTTTGAATGGATTAGATACAAGAGGATAAAGCTTTCTAAATAGAAGTTACAGATCAGATTTTGCTCTTGCAAACTCTCCAAAGATGTCTTGTACGTCTTTGCTTTCTTTCCTCCTATGTCAGGTAATGGAATGTATGTCTCTGTTGTTCTGCAGTTTCTGGTGTAGGTTTGTGCATTGTCTTATTTCTAAGTGTATGCATTGTCTTATATTGGATTAAACTCTGTAATTCTGTGACGTCAACACGCAATGCTGGTTTTCATAGAGACCACACGCAGCTCGCCGGGTGGACCTGGAAAGGGAAGAATGACAAGCCAACCTTTTTCCAAAGTTAACTATGTTAGAATATTTTCTTCCTTAACAATTGGGGGCTCGTGCCGGTTCTGGAGTCTCGGCGGGCGGCTGTTTGGTCCTGATTGATCCGTTTCGGCCCGACACTTCGGTGTGGTAAGACAGTATTTGATTATTTTTCAGTTGTCTGAAGCGCCGTGTGGTCGGACCGGTGCTGATTTGCTGTGTGCGGCCTCACAGAATTCAGAAGCTGCAGAGGTAGATAGAATCCCTCCTAAAAGAGTCGGTTGTTTAAGGATTTGAATAAATACACATTACAGGGAACTGTGGCTAGTTCAAACAGAGCCTTTACGTTAACTCTGACTTAAGCTGGGTTTTTTAAAAGAATGTTTTATTGATTGATTAATTAATTAATTGATTAATTAATAAAGATTAATTTATTCTTTAACCCTGAGGAACAATGCCTGTGCCTCTAAAAAAGAATTTCGGGTGTCTGTGTATTAATTAGCAGGGGCTTGTATCAGCCCGGAGATTTCGACTCATCTCCAGTGGACTTATAATTATTTGGGTTAATTGGATCGAGTTGTATCACTCATGGAAAAGGACTAATGGCAGGTTAATTGGACCGAGTTGTATCACTCGTGGAAAATAAAGGACTAATAGCAGGTTGGATCATCTTTCTTTGGCACCCTTAATCGGGTTGCTTATAGTATAAAGGACTAAA